AAAACGATTCACCGTGAAGACCTGGGAGAAAGCCTAAAGGAACTAGGCAAGTCTAGTCCCTGAACTCTCCCTTTCCCGCGCTAATTTCCCGTGCTACAGATAAGGGACAGTTGAACCCAGGCGGGAGAAGATAGATACTCTCTCGGCTAATAAAATTTCCTTTGTACTGTTATTTCAGTTCTTTGCTTGCTTGTTCCTGATATTTGCGGCTGAGGCTGTTGCAGGAATCCTTGGCTTTCTTTACCGTGACAGGGTAGGTTTGTTGTGTTTTTCCCAGCTGGTAGGTTTAATCAGTTTGAGGATTTTCCTAATTTTATCGACGTTCGTGCATGACAATGCCTCGATACTTTAAAGCGGAAACAAATGCTTTGCTGCAATGAGCTTAGTATGAAATCGGCGTGAATTTGGGTGTACCCTGTTCATCTCATCTTCAGTATTTGAAGTTGCTTGACTTACTTAACTGGGATGAAGAGGAAAGGGCGCTTTGTTCGTTACGTATGATACCACACTCTCTCAACTTAATTTAGCAAGGCCAAGTGTATTTCTTGGCCTCTGATTTATATCTCGGGTTTGTTGCTAACACCCACGTCAGACATGATAGCGACCACCCAGAGTTATTGGCCCCATTTATTGCCAGATATATGCCTGTAGTAGAATAAATTCGTACCAGCTATTAATTTTTATCGAATTCAAAACAATAATAAAACAATTTTAGTTATTCACGTACGATAAACCGCCTAGTGTATTAAATATTTTCTGGTGCCTTGCTTGAATTTGCAGGTTAAGCCCAGCTTGATTTAGGGAACTTTGAACAAGCTATTTTTGAACTGAAACACTTTGGTTTCACAGTTCGGTTAAACTTTACCCATGAGGTCAGACCGGAGTTTACTATGGCCTCAGCCCCGAGGGGTATAAGACGATCTCAGAGCGAGATCCCTATGAGCTTCACGATGTAGACGAAAACTCGTTTCCAGGGGGAAGAACAAAGTTCCCTGGAGCTTGTTTGGCTAGACTTCTGCTGCAGCCTTAGATACGTAGTGGCATGCAAAGATGCGTTATGAATCAGTTGTAGCATTACAGTGCATGAGCTTTCAACCAAATGTTCCAGAGTTTT